CAGATTTTACTTATGTGCCGTGCACAATTGTGGCACAAAACCAAGCACAGGCTGAATACCCGGGGGTAGATGACTGTCCCCTGGAAGCAAAAAGGTTATATGTCAACAGGCGTTAAGGAAGAACTCGATTGTTCGCATCGGATTCGGGTCCCAGCGTTAACACTTCACGCGATTCTGACTGACCAGTCACCAACCGTTTTATATTTCCGGACGCCCTGCCCTTTTTCGATGGAGAGCTAGGATAATCAGCGGACTGATTAGCGAGAGCGCCTGAGATTTGAGTCATTTATCGTCAGTTCATTTTGGTGATATCAATTTCGAGGAAAATATCCGGATCAGAATACCATTTCTCAGTACCAGCCAACTAGAGACGATTTTCAGTTTCAGAATGCTTTGAGAAGATCAGTATAGTTCATTCTAGTTCGAGAAAACAATACCAGTATTGAATACTTTAAAATTTTTAATGGCAAGCACTTCGGTAAAAGCATAAAACTTCCCAGAGACAGCCTTTACTTTGAAAAAAAATATGCCTGTCCTTAGAATAATCTCACAAAACGAAAAGGACTAAGCACACATCCGAAAGTATGATTTCCCCTTGAAAAAAAAAAACCAAAACCCGACGAGAGAAATTCCAAGTTGTCATTATCGAAACAATGCATGCAAGAAATAAATAGTAATCCAAATTGAAATTTCAATATAAGCAGGGTCGTTAACAAAGTCCATGACCACAGTCTTAGGCCTGATGTATTCAAGGATGACCAGGCCAGTGGGATGCGAATTTTCCGAATAGGAAAACTCGAATGCTTTGTGTGTGGGAGGGGGGCGAAATATATTGCATGCGTACCCGCGGCTATTTTTGTTCCCCACAGAGGGGGCGAAGTCTACACGTCTGCGAGAAACTTTTCGTTAGCCACATCTGCGGCAGTTGGATACAGCGCCAACTTGTCACCAGTGACGGCGTTCACCACGCGGAAGGGTCTTAGAATGAGACGCGACTGGACCGCCGTCGTAGCAGTCTCGGGTTTCGGCTCGCTCTGGTCGTCCGGGTTACCATTCTCGGGGGAAGCAGGGGAGGCGAACTTCACCAACCAGCCGATGAGGGCACGAATGATACGTTTACAGACCTCTGCGTCCGTTCCAGCCACTTCCAAAAGGACAGTTG